TGCTCGGCCCGAGCGCTCCCGCCGTGCGGCGCCTCTGGGGTGCAGCGCCCACAAATCCCGGCTGGAGGCGGCGGCTCCTGTGGATAAGGCTGGGCAGAGTAATTCGTGTGCCACTCCCCAGCAAAATGATTTCTTCCCTAACGCTATTTCCTTCATCTTTTACAAGTGTCTTCCCAGACCACCTGCAGTTTTCTTTACCTGTTTGAAGTAAACGCGTTTCCTGAAGCTGCTGAGATACCGCTGTTTTTGCTAAAATCACAGTAAAAATTTCATTTTGCTTTCTGTAAGCAAGATTTAGGGGTTCTAAAGTGGCGTGTACTCAAGATTTATACCGTTGTTGAAATTATCCCCCCTGTTTTCCTGAAAAGGGCTTTGAAAATGGCTTAGATGTTTATGATGTTAGTGTTGACAGCGAAGTTCGCTAAGTTTTGAAGGAATAGCCTGAAACAGAGATAGAAGGATCCAAGTATTAAAATCTTTGCTATTGAAAGAATTACATGTTAAAATTAAATGTCAAGGGGAAGTTAATCCTGGTGTTCCTTTTTCTCCTGAGTCAAATGTGTTTAATGGTTATGGTTGTCTTTTCAATCATATTGACAAGCAAATAGTTTATTAATTCCTATTACCAGAAATGTAAGAGCGTTGATAACAAGACTTGTTACATTCCTAAACTCAGTCTCCTGAAGATCTAGGCCTTACTTGTGTTACTTTAGTACAATAAAAAGAAGAATTAAAATGTTCATTGGGTGTCTACTGCTTCATACCAGCAGATGAAGTACTACACTGCTTTGATTTGTTCTGAGGGCTGTTATATCAAATGCTGTTGCATGTTGAATTGGGTATTTAAGTAAGGAAAGGTTTTCTTGGCCCTAGAGTTCTTGCTGTATGGTGAGCCATGCTGTCACTGGTCAGAAATTGTTCAGTGCTTAGCCTCCGCAGCCGCCTGAATGGAATGTGAATTTGTTTACAGATGAGATACATTCATCCTGTCTCAGATGGGTGGAAAAATGCAGCTTGTAGCTGTTTGCTAAAATGTGTAAATAGTAACAAGTTTTGCAGTACTTCTGTGGATTTGCCACCCAGCACCCCTTTCTATCTAGAAACATAAATTAATATCTTGCTCTGTGTGTTGATCAGCCCCATCAGGACCTAGAGCATAAGATAAATGTTTATCTTACAGATTGGTGTACAACCTGGGAGAGGTGAGTCCTGCTCCCAGGTTCCAGGATGGTCATTTTTATTGTATGTTGCAGAAGGTCATTTCAATTTAGATCTTTGCAGATTGAGTCTGTGATCTTTCCAGACGTGAATGTACATTCCTCAGAAGCAAATCTCTGTTGTTTCAGATTTCCAGCTCAAGGTGTGTGCATGTGTGCTGATTTTCCAATGAAGTACATCCTGGTAACTGGTGGTGTCATCTCGGGCATTGGCAAAGGGATCATTGCGAGCAGCATTGGCACCATCCTGAAATCATGTGGTCTTCGTGTCACTGCAATCAAAATTGATCCTTACATAAACATAGATGCTGGAACCTTTTCCCCATATGAACATGGTATGAAGATAAGTGCTGTTCACAATAAGTGCTTTCACAAATGGTGTTTACAACTTGTTTTATCATTCTTTTGAAAGTTTATTGCTTACTGTGTTCTCAAGGACACTGTCTTCACTAAGTTAAGAAACAGAAGCTTGTGTTTTTAAAGATACTGTTATGAGCAGATGCTTTCTTTCTCAAAAATCCCACTTTACTGGGAAAATCCTAGCTGTAAGACTTGTTCAGTTAATGCTGTCTTCAGTTCAACTTGATTAAAAACCCCTTTTAAACAGTGCTATGAAACTTACTTGAAACTTAAGTCCTTAAGAGTTACTTGAGAATGCTTTTCTCTGGGTATCAGGGCCTTCTAATGTAAGTGCCTTCATGAGAGTTAGCTTAAGTTCTCATTTTAGTAAAAAAAAATTATTCAAAAACATTAGTGAAGCTTAGAGAACCTAAGTTCATTAAAGTGGAGTGTTGTACTTTGGTGGAATATACATTCCTGTAGTCCATTTTTTTTTTCTGCATTAATCATGTAATTTGTTTTGCCATTGATTTTATTGGGTCATGGCAAAATAGTTACAGTTTTTCTGAAGAGTTTTCCAGCCTTAGCTCAAGATCTAGTAAGCTGAGTTCAGAATTTAGAGACTCTTTAGAGGGCTGAGAAAAGTGTGAACCTGAAGGGTATTTTAAGTGGATTTTTCAGGGTCAGAAATAACCCATGTTGTGGGCATGGATGAAACAACTGACTCAGAAATGGTGATGATGTTTGAAGGAGCATTTTTCTTCATCATAACATTACTCCTGATTGAAGTCTCAATCTTTAAAATAGATCCAATCAACGAGAATTTATAGTGAAACACTTTGAACATGTATAATAATTCATGTTTACAAAAGCATAGTTTTTCTCTCCTGCTGGTAAATGAATATTTTATTTGTTGCTGATTTATGATTCCTAGAGGTTGTTTTCTTCCAGTGAAGGATTACTCTGCTGTTGAAATGCTGGTTAAATATTTATGTGGCTTAAATATTTTGGCAATGTAATTTACATTTTATTTGCAAAACTATATGTATCTGAGGGATGGACATTAGATATAAAACTGACTTGGATATTAAGTCATACAGAGTGACAATGCAGGTTTGGTTGCATTTTGGACTTTATTGATATGTTGTTGTCATGCATAATTTAATTTTTTTTCCTTCTGTTTTAAGATGTCTGTGGAATTCCTGCTGTGTGTTTCATAATTTCTGATTATTTTGTTGTTTTTCTGTCTGTTTTTGCTTTCTTTTTCAGGTGAAGTTTTTGTGTTGAATGATGGTGGAGAAGTTGACTTAGATTTGGGAAATTATGAGAGATTTTTGGACATCAGTCTCTATAAAGATAACAATATCACCACTGGAAAGATATATCAGCATGTCATTAATAAAGAAAGACATGGTGATTATCTGGGAAAAACCGTTCAAGGTAATATTTTTAATTTTGTATGTTTTTGTAATTTTAATTTTTAATTTTTGTATTTTTTAATTTTAGTCTATTCAGTCTTCACAAAAGTGGGGATCAGCTAGAACAGGTTACTTCTTGCTCTGCCACCTTCCTCCTTTCTCCCTTCCAAAAGATATGGGCATATTCCTGTAATGTTTGGCTTCTGGGCTCAAGGAAAGGAGAACTAGAGGGAGGACCTAGTAGTTTCTTCTTGGCTTTCTGTTCACTTAACCCCTTTTGCATGCAGAAATTAGGATATGGACCTAAAGTAAGCTGTGCTTGCCTTCTTTGGTTTTGTTTTGTAGTTGTTCCACACATTACTGATGCAGTTCAGGAGTGGGTAATGAATCAGGCAAAAGTTCCTGTGGATGATGACAAAAAAGAGCCACAAATCTGTGTAATTGAGGCAAGTATAGAATCTTTTAGGTTGTTTATCTACAGTGAACACGATGATCTTCTTTGCTTTCTCTTTGCTCCCTACTGTAAAGGGGTCAGACTGAAGTTTTATGGAGAGCAGAAATTCAAAAACACGTTCTGTGTTCTTTGGTTTGGTCTTATCTCTACAACTTCCATTTATTTGAATAAATCCACTCTAGAATACAACTGAAATTGAGCTTCTTAAGAGCTCATTACCTTAGAGAATTAAAGCAGTTACTGTAATGTGAACTGCCTATTCCAAGATCCAGATGTTTGACTGAAGCTTTATACTGTTAATAGTATTGAGAAATCTTGTGTAATACCTGAAATCTCCTGTGGTCTGTAGGAGAGCCTTTAACTTTGTAGCTTCCAAAGAACTTCAAATGCTCATCTTGTTGATTGTGGTCATGCTTAAAGGAATATATTTAAACAATGTGTAAGTTGGTTTCCCATTTTCTGATGTTATCTTTGGTGGCAACTTTGTTAATTACTTAACCTGCTGATGTTCTGCACGATGGAAACAAAGAGTTTGACCCACCTGTAGTAGGGCACTGAGACAGCTGGATGAAAGCCAGTAATTGCTAGTAGCACTATTACAGCAGAAAATAATGGAAAAAAAGATTATAGTTGTGAATTTGGCAGAACATGTCACAGATTTAATGCCAGAAGTGAGCTCTGCAATCAATAGTACCATAAACTTTGTGACCCAGCAGCAGAATTACTCATTGTTTCTTATGCAGAAGAATCTGCCTTGATTGAGATACACTTACCAGTATACCTACAGATTTTTTAAAGATGTTCACAGTGGGAGTCAATATGAAAAAGTAAATACAAAAGTTGCACAAAAACATAAATAAGTGATGGTCATATCAGTCCTTTAACTACAGTTTTTTCAGGTTTTTTTTGGGTTTTGGTTTGGAGGGTTTTTTTTGTTTGTTTGGTTTTGTTACATTCATACCTCTAGCCTGACAAAATTATTTTTCTTTAGTACTCTAAAAAGAATTGTAATATTTTTCCATTGCAAAATCCTGAAGGAGTTAGACTAAATGTGTGTGATGTACAAATATAGTTGTCAGTTTTTCTGGTACTGGATGAACAGAAATATGTAATTCTGTTGAAAACCACTTGGTGGCACAAAAAGATCGTTCTGGAATACAACTATTTCATCAGACTTGTGTGCAAAGCTGCTTTATTCAGTGCTCAGTCTGCTGTAGCTCCCTGTGTCCTTGAAAGGCATCTGATTTCTGTCTTTATAAATAAATTTCAGCATGGATTTAGTCTTGCATTTTGGTTTGATAACAAACAATTATTGGTGTTGGAAAGCTGTGATAATATTGAGAAATGTCTATATCTAGTTAATCACAAGTATTTTTTAATCTGACAGGAAATAAAGTTTTCCTGTACAAAAACCTTTGCATCAGTTTAACTATTGATTGCTGGTTCACCACTTTGAAGGCAGTGTGAGGCATGTATTATTCAGCAGCACCACACATCTTCCCATGGGAAGCTTGTGTATTTGGTGGAAAGTGAACATAACAAAACTGGAAAATTGTTTAATGTTTTCCACAAGAAACAAACTGTGCAGAGTAGATGAAAGCACTTTGTAGAGTATATTTGCACATTTCAATTGTCAGGGGTTTTTTTCAGATAAAAGTTTCAGAAAACATCTTGAAATATATGAGACTTTTTTTATTTTGTGTTTGCATTCTGCCACTCTGACATATCCATTTCCTTTTCAGCTGGGGGGAACCATTGGAGATATTGAAGGAATGCCATTTGTTGAAGCATTTAGACAGTTTCAGTTCAAAGCAAAAAGAGAAAATTTCTGTAATATCCATGTTAGCCTAGTACCACAGGTAAGTTATTAGAGTTAATATTATAAATTTTAATCTATATTGGCTTTATATTTGTTCACTTGTCTCATTAAGCCTTTCATGCTGGAGTCAAGTCAAGACCACTGTAACTCCTTGTACAGGACTGAAAGTATTTTTTCATTTGAACTCTAAATTTTGCTTCACTACTCACTGGGGATATTTTGGTAAGCAAAGGTTTGTAATGATGATAGACTTCACCTTCTACAGACAAAAAGATAATTACCAACTACAGCTGTGGATTAGAGAATTGAACAGCAATTGGTAGGATCAATTCTTGTAATTGAGAACAGAATTATTTATTACATGTGAATATCTCAAAAACAGTCACTGGAGGCTTTTTGCTGTGTTGGACATTCTCCATTTCTTAGCCAAATCCAACTTTTGGAATATTCTTCTTCTTCTGTCCAAACCAATTACATGGAAATTTTTCTCTGAAAACAAAAACAGCAAAATAAACTTGACCTGAATTGGAACCCTGTGATTTCATCACAGTATTTCATATACAAGTGATAACAGTGGTGTCATTTCTGTTCCTGGCATATTATGGCTCTCTTTGGATATGTTTATTTCCTGCAAATATTACTTGCAATGAATTTTGTCTTTTAATCTGTAACTGCTTTGTTAGCAGATATTAGCTGCTATTTGAGCTTTCAAAATGTGCCTTTTCAGCCTAATGCTACTGGTGAACAGAAGACAAAACCAACACAGAACAGCGTTCGAGCACTGAGGGGTCTAGGCTTGTCTCCAGATTTGGTGAGTCAATAAATACTGATTTTTATTTATAGGTCATCTAGAAATATCCTTGCATAACTTGTGTTCAAAGAATAAGCCATAGTCTCTCAGGAAAAATGAGAATTTTAGAAGAAATGCAAAATATGTGCTGGATAGCTCCATTAAAGCCACAGGAAATCAAATTAGTCAAAATCACTCTAAGCTAACTTAATTTAACTAACTTCTTGCAATATCTTGGGACCGTAGCTAGGTTCTTCAAAGGCATCTTTTTTATAAAAATAATTCTTCACTGCTAAAAATAACTGAAAAATCAATTCACTTTGTAGAAAGACATGAATGTTTCTGTTTTCTTGTAACATTCAGATTTTTTTTGCATTATTAAGAAGAGGCAATGTGTATATCCTAAAAAAGAAAAATTATTCTTAAGATAGTTACACAACTAAATTTTGTGTTGTGCTTCTTTTTGTTTTTATTTTGAGCTCTTTCATTTAACATTTATGAATGAATGTGTTTTTAACTACAAAACCAATGGATTTTGAAATAGGGGATGTGTAAGGTGTCCTTGGTGTGAAGTGGCTGTGACATGATAATCATAACCAGCTTGTGGAAGGAAAGACTTTTATTAATGTAATGCTGTACTGTGTTCCAAGTTTCAGGGCCTAATCTCCAAAATCCCTCTTGAAGTGCTCATTGCATAGGAAAGTTGCCTGTTCTTTTTGAAGGCCTTTAAGGCAATTGCCAGGGCCTGACTTCTCCCTCCCCACCAAAAAATGATTTTTTTAAAAAACCTGTTAAGTGGGTGTATGTAAGAAAAGGAGAACAGACAAACACAGTGCCTGGCTTGCATCTTGGGTTCTTGCCTGGGGCAGTTCTGGGACTGCCAGGAGCACAGTATCATTTTTGGTTTTTGGCTGCTGCTGTTGACACCTGAAGCAGGGACAGCTCTCACTTGAGATGCAGCCTCTTGGTGCCCTCATAAAGTTCCTTGAGTGCAGCTTCAGCACAATATTTAAATGGTTGCTGTCTTGGCCAGGCAGCACATGGGGCAGCTCCTACAGCTGAGCCTGTTCCATCCAGTTCTGAATCCCTGCTGCCTCCCTGCCTGCTCCAGGCATCCCTGGGGGAGCTGCTCAGCTCTGTGTGCCCCAGCCTCTCTGTTCTGAGTGCCAAATGTGCTGTGGCTGCAGAGATCCTGTGCTCTGATGCAGCACTTTGAGTGTGCACTTGTCAGAGCTGCCCTGTTGGACTCAATTGTTCCTCATTTTGTGTTATGTTCCTTTGCAGTGCATCTCTCCCATTTTTATTGTAGCTTTGCTATTTTTGTGCTGGCTCTGATGTTTTTGATTTCTGTGTCTGCATTAGCTTTAAATTTGTCTCTACAAGATGGATGATAGATTTCAAAGTGGGTTTACTCATGTGCTTGTACTATCAAGGTTTATAAATTATACCTTCAGATTCAAACTGTACCAAATTTTACAAATGAATTGTGCTTAAGTGAATAGAATGTACAATTTGTTTCCTAATTACCTTTTGATCTAAAAGCACACTAATTTTCCCTTATACTTGGCATTTTTTTTTTCTGTTTCTAGAATTACTTCTAAGGTTAGGGTAAGTTAATTAGACTCCATCAGTATTAATGTAGCTAAGCTGCATTAGCAAGGTGATCAAAGGGCAGCTACAAGTTTCTGAGCAAAAGGGCTGGATGAATTAAGTATTTGCATTTGCTTGAAAGATGGGGAAAGTAATGAAGTAGCCTTGTAACAGGATCATCTTACGTTTTGTTATGCTTTCAGGTTTCAAAATAACTGAAGGGAGTGGACTGAGTAATAAGTAGGCACTTTACTAGAGCAGTTCTGCATTTTGATCTAGTTGCACCAAAGCATATAGTGTTTGTTTAAAAATCATTTTAACCAATGATTTTTTTCATTGGTTAGAATTATCAATATTTTCTAAAATTACTGGGGTTTAAATGTATCAGCAAAATACTAGCACCAGTAAAAACTCCATACAATTATGAATTAGTATTCTTTTCTTTGGCCTCGTTTTTGTCATGATGTCTAAATTAAGAAGATGCTGAAATACTGAAAAACTCATGCATGTAAGCTAAGTAGTATTTCTCTCAATTTAAATCTGATCATATTGATTACAATATTTCTTTTGATTCATCATATTCATTATTATAGAGCTGCTAGACTTGAGGCAAAGAGTATTACAATAGTAGTTGCAAGAAATAAGATTATGAGGAAGGAATATTACAGAGAATGCCAATGAAAGATGAATGAAAATTGGTCAGTATGAGCAGGTGATGGATTTGCTTCTGCCTTGCTAGTACATATTTGTGAGCTCTGATATATCCTAGAACTTCAAAAGGGGGAAAGAGTGAAAAAAGGCACATTTGTTTATGTTCTGCTTCCAAAAGAGATGAATTTCACTATGAAATATTGAGCATCTTCTATTGGTTTGCAGAGTAAATATTTGAAGTTTTTTCCCCTCTTGTGACAGATAGTCTGCAGAAGTGCAAAACCTATAGAGATGGCCGTGAAAGAGAAGATTTCCATGTTTTGTCATGTGGAGCCTGAGCAGGTCTGTATTTCAATATTACATGTGGGAAAGTATACAAATATTTCTGTGCATTTCTCTTTTCAACTTCTGACTGTTTCATTCATATGTGATTGTTTTTATAATTTTTTATCTTGCTATTATGGATGCCACAGCATTTTCAAAATATCAGGAGTACATATGTTAAGTTTTATGTCAGACAGTCAATAATTTAAATGTGTGTTGAGTAAAAGCTAATAAAAAACAGATTTTGAGTGCATGGTTAGTTGTTGTACATAGCATGAAACTGTACAGTTTTCACAACCATGGCTGGTTTTATTCATTATTTATTATTATGTAGTTCTTGCCCATAAATCATCTCAGGTGATTATAATAATGGATGAACAAAGTGTGGTTAAAACTTGGTGATTTGCTTCTGTCCACAGGTGGTCACAGCCACGTGAACACTCTTACTGTGATTATATGTAATAGGCTAATTATGCCCTTAAGCATGCACCTACTGTGTAGTTATATATTCTCCTATAATTCATGTGTGGTTTTTCCCCCAATAGTTTACAATTAATTGCTATTCAAATATTACTTTTGATTAATTCACTGCTCTTTAAATTTTTTTGCAAGTGAGAGCATTTTACGTTTCAATGTTCTGGATAATGCTGAAGGTACAACAGATTCAGATTGAATGGGCACACAGAGAGGCAGGGGGCAGCACACACATGTACAAGGTTTGTGATGAGCAGAAGCAGCTCAGGGGTAACAGAGTATCCTTTACTGTTCATGTCTTGAGAACACTTGTGCTCCAGATTCTGAGCTCTGTGACCTCAGGTAAACCAAGCACAATCACCTTCATTGCTGGCAGCTTGGATGCAGTTTATAAATGTGTTCTGAACAAAAAGATCCTTAGATGGACTGTACTCAGTAATTACAGAGCCTAGTTCACCAACAGCATAATTTTAGGAGACTTTGTCACAACCAAATTGAGTCTGTTTTGTTAGGTTTAATTTGTTTTCTTCCTTTCATGCTTAATACTCCTCAAGCTTGTGAGAGGGGAGGAAAGAACTGCTAGCAGGCATGAGTGTTTGTGGAGCCAGATGTTTGCATTAAAACTGATGCATTGCTAGGCTTGACAAGCATGTATGATGGTGTGAAGGAGAAGTAAAACACATTTTTCCTTTTTGAGTAACTTTTTTCTTGTAGATTTAATAGAACCTTAAATATTAGCTATTCTGTCCTGCTCTTTCAAATATTTAAAAACCAGAATGTGTGTAGAATAAAAAATGCATGTAGTATCCAAAAGTAGAATGAATGTTTCCTATGAAAAATTTACATAAGTTTTTTATGTTCTGCCTTTTTTTTGTTAGGTGATATTTATTCATGATGTTTCTTCTACATATCGAGTGCCAATCCTATTGGAGGAGCAAGGCATCATTAAGTATTTTAAACAGAGGCTAAATTTACCTATTGATGACCAGCCAAGTGATCTTCTAATGAAATGGAAGAAAATGGCTTGCAGGTATTCTACATCCTGCTGCTTTCTCTAGAAGTGCTGTAATTCCAGGTCGCTTTTAGCTGATATGAAGTCAACAAACTGGACTGACTGGGTTAGTGCTGATGGACACCTGTGAATAGTGTGGGTTTAAAACCACTGGCAGTTTGGAAACTTAGGGGGATATTTTGTGGAGTTAAAGAAAAAGCAAACACTGTTGAAATGTGGGGTTTTTTTTTTTTTTTGGGTTTTTTTTTTTTTTTTTTTTTTTGGTGAAATTTGGTGTAGTAACTGAAGAACTTGTTTTTGTCAGATACGAAAGGTTGCTGAAGGTGTGTTCCATAGCTCTCGTGGGCAAGTACACAAAGCTAAGTGACTGCTATGCATCTGTTTTCAAAGCTCTGGAACACTCTGCACTGGCAATTAATTACAAACTGGATTTAATGGTGAGCATATTTCTGGCTTTTGCTTTCAGGAATACTTTGATTCTACTGTTGTATCATTCTGTGGTAACCTACTAGTTCCCATCATGTGTGGTAGTTTTAATTCATGTGTAAACTAGAAAATGAATCATGCAGATAAATACAGACTGCAGACTTTCATTTTTTAAAATAAATGTTTACAGATTTAATTATTTTATTTGTAACTAAACTACCTGAAAGGAACACTGAAGTTACCCAAAACTGGATCTGATGAAAAAGCAGACTTTATCTGCAAATTTGTATTTACTACCATAGTTAGATTTCACTTGTTTTCATGACACACAGTTTTATGGTGAACTTGGCAATCCTGGGTTAACAGTTGGATTCAATGATCTTAGACATCCTTTCCAACTATTTTGTTTATTTTATGACTAGAATTATTTATTGACTAGAATTTAATTATTTTATGACTAGAAAAGGGAAAATGTACCAATCTTAAAAAAAAAAAAAAAAAGAAAAGGTAAAAAATAGCATTTGGAGAAATGGCAGATGGTCAGCCTTTTCTTGTTCCCTGGGAAGAGTATTAGCTAATACTCTAAAAAAGTTGTTTCTGTGTGCATGAAGAAACAAGAAAATGGGAACAGCCAGAATTGATCCCTGGGGATTTTTAGATGCTGACTGGAAATGATCCTAAGCAGCCTGCTCTGACCTGACTTGCTTTGGGCAGGGAGTGAGGCTGGAGACTTCCCAATGTCCTTTCTGACTTACATGATTGTATCACTGTAGTGTTTTGTACTGACAGCTGCAGAGGGAAAAGTTTTTATGATATGAAAAATAGTTTTGCTTTTAGCAAAAAAGGTGAAAGGTGCCCTGTCTGCAAATGGACAGCAAGCTTCATGTGCTGCTGGTCTTAATTTTGGTGGGGCTTCTGCATTAACAAACATGAAAACTGATGGTTGCTGAGCTCTAGTGCAGTGTTGCAATGTTAACAGACACAGTTCCCACTGTACTTAACTGCATGTCCAAATCTCTTTTTAGTGCTTATGCCCAAAGGCTGTCAGTATAATCCCATGCTCTGAAGGAACTGCTTTATCTGAATGACAAAATGTTGATGCTTCTTTAACTGATAAATGTTCCTTCTTAATATGTTTGGCAAGGAAAATACAGTTGACTCCAATTGTCATTAGTTTCTCTTTCCAACCTCATACTATCATAGTGTCTTTTTAGTTGGTTATGTAATATTCTTCTAGCACAGAATAGTAACATTGAAAATTAGTTATTTTTCTGTTATATTTTTGATGCCTTCTGGAATGTGGAAAAAGTAGAAAATATTTGCTAGAAAGCAGTTTTGTCTGGGAAACTTTCAGCAATCTCCTTGTCAGTTGCCTTTCTCTGCACACAGGTGAGTTCTGCCATTTCAGATGATCTCATTTTTATGGAGGATGGACTCTACATCAGAATGTGGTTAATTATGTTAATCTGAGAAAAAGGCGGACAAAACCCAGAATCAAACTCTGATCTTTTGTGTCCCTAGTGCAGTACATTGTCCCCTCACTTAACTCTAGTGGTGCATCAGAACCTGGTTTTTTTAACGACACTAGAGATTCTAATGCAGTATTTCCACTAGGGCATAGATAATGATTCTTTCTCCCCTTCTACCCAAGAGACCCAGGAACACCTTTCTCACAGACAATGCAGATTTTTCCAGTCTTATTATAAGACTGGACAAGCTGTGGCACCTAAAAGTCAGGCAAGGAAAGATCCTGGCCACATCCCATTGGGATGGCAGGAAAAGGTCAGCACCACTCCTTGTTTGGCCCTGGTTGCCCTAGGAGGGTAACCTGGGTTCAGAGTTGCAAATTCTAGTCAATCTGCTTCCCTGGAGGGTGCCAAACAGGGCTGCAGGCAGACACAGCTCCTGAGCTGTGTGCAAAGAAAAGGGCACAGATTGCTGCAGTTAGAGCAAACACTGGATCTTGAAAGCAAATACTGGGTCTTCAGTGAAGTTGTTACAGGTTTATTGGGAAAGTCACTTGAAACTGTTAATAATTTCTCTTAGCACTTGATCATGTACTGTCTACTGCTCCTTCTGTGGAAAAAGAGACCATTTCATTGTATGTTTTTCTTTATTAGTACATAGATTCAATAGAACTTGAACGTTCTATGGAAGCAGAGAACTCAGTGAAATATCACCAGGCATGGCACAAACTGTGCAAAGCAGAGTAAGTGACACTGGGCATTCTGTATCCTAAATGCAGACTATGGTATTTATTTCATGTGATGAAAAATGATTCAGTAAATTAAATAATTTCTCAACGTGTCCAGACTTTTGTTCCGTATGTGAAAGGATAAATTGAATGTGTGGTGAAAAACTTCAGCAAATTGAAGTATCAACATATATCCTCAAAGTCTGCTTAATCTCTTTAGACAAATTGCAGTTTTTTTGCTTGTTGGTTTAGGGTTTTGATTTTTTGTGAAAAAATCAGAAAAGTGATATTTTGATGTGAAATGTGCTTGCAAATGCACACTAAAAATGTCTTTGTTAAGAATCATTGCTAGGATTTCAATTTGTATTTTTAAAGTGATGTTGTTTCTTGTCTAGATGCATTTTGGTTTTTTGGTATTAAAAGATCTAAATTTTGGGCGTTAGGATTTTAAGCAGTGAATATGTAGCTAGTTTATTTGAGCAATATTTATTTAAGCAGTGGGAATTTCACTGTGAAATGTGATATTGGTCAGATGAGAATTGGGGTAGGTAGATGAAATAAATCTCCGATTTTTAATGTCTTTGTATTCTGAATGTTCATATGAAATATGCCTTTCATGAATTGTGCTTGCTTAGTTTTAACTTCAAGAGTCTTCAAGTTGTGTGGATTCCTCTGCTGGCTTGATTCTACATGTATATTCTTTTCTATATGGCTGTCATTACAGTGGCATTCTGGTCCCAGGAGGTTTTGGAATTAGGGGAACAGAAGGCAAACTCCAAGCTATCTCCTGGGCAAGAACAAAGAAAAAACCTTTTCTTGGTAAGATCATTAGAGTGAGAAATTGCTGTGTTTAGGAGATGTATAGCAAGCTAATTGATTTGATTAAAAAAAGACAAACCCCCACATTAGAGAAGGGTCCTGTCTTAGGGAAGTATGTGTGATGTTGTGACTATCTGCCATGTAGAGAATTCCCAGGAGCATAGTCTTGTGCCACATCTACTGTATGAGGAAGGGAAAAAAACCAATCCCTTCTGCAAAGGTTTAATTTACATGTACAAAAGTGGAGAGTCTTTGCTTCTCATTGTAATTATATCACTATAATTCTCTTTAGTAAACAGTATGCAGAAAACATAAATATCTTTGGATCACTTTTGCTATATTAAAGGTTTTTTGTTTTAATTTTCTGCTATATGTTATTACAGTGAAGTAAAAAATATCATCTGGCCTATAAGCTAAGTGCTGTTTGTGTACCTCTGAGGCTTTGCTTCCCACTCCACATTTCTTACTTTTAAGTGTCTGAGTAGTTGCCAAAGCAAAGTTTGAATCTGTATATACCCAGGCTTTCAGCTTCTGTTTGTCTTTGCAATAATTATTGGTAAAATAGATGAGAGGAATAAAATATCTTTGAAAGGGCTTAAAGTGCATAATTGTGTCACGTATATTTATAATGTGCCAAGTGTGAAGTGTGAGTTTTACATTGAGCGGCCACTTTTGGTTTAGGTTTTTTGTAAGTCTGTGTATATGCAATGAATACCAAGATTTCAAAGCAGTCAAGTTTAAGACAGAGCAGCAAGTACTTAGTCCCACTCTTCAGCCTGGAAATTCTGGAGTTTTTGTTTTCTCTTCTAGGAGTTTGCCTGGGAATGCAGTTAGCAGTTGTGGAATTTGCAAGAAACTGTTTGAATTGGGAAGGTGAGCTCAGTAGACTGGTGTGAATATGATTTATTTAGAGGCACTTTTATTCTCTGTGTGAAATGTATGTCTATTATTAGAACTGTTTACAGATCCTGTGGTTGGTAGATACTTAGCCCTTGCAGCAAGACCATTTTCAGCTAAGTACCCTGTGCTACCTCTCTGTGCAAGGGAGGAAGAACTCTTTGTTATGTGCATTGTTTGAAATCTGCTTTTTGATCTAAAGAGTGTGGAAGAAAGTGTGCTTAGAGTTCACCTCTGTAGTCTCTTTCTGAAGTGTGCTGGTGGTGAGAAGTAAAAGCTGAGTTTTCTTACTTGCCTTCATTGGCCAGAGTGGCCAAACAAGAGCCATTCAGTAGTAGTACGAAGAGATTTAACTTACCAACAATTTCTAGTACTAAGAGCTGAGAGGAAAGTATTTTGGAAAGCAGGAAAGGGAACTTCTGTGTCTGAGGTCATATGCTTCCTATGATTACTTCAAAAGTGATGCAGGATGCATTTCAACTCATGAGATTGTAACATAAATGTAGACAAGCCCTGAAATGCCACAGAGCTGTTATGAGTTTGTAGTGCATGTAGAGCAAATGTACTGTGCTTACTTTGAGCTTCTGTTCCAGATGCAAATTCTACAGAATTTGACCCAGACACAAAAAACCCAGTTGTAAGTACTGTTTCTTCCCTGCATGTGTTTTGTGAACATATGTCTTTCTTAAAAAGAGAATTTGACTCTGTGTTACTTAAAATTTATCTATATTTCTATGTGGTAGGACATGAGGTGGTATCTCCTGTCTTTACTCAGTATTGCTTAGAAAGGTATTTTCCTTTGATAGTCTCTTGCCATTGCCTATTTGTTTCTGTGAATTGCCTTAGCTTTATTTTTGTAACTTTTCTAATGGTTTCCTTGTGTGTAAACTCATGCTGGGAGTAGACAATAATTATCAAGTTGGCTTTACTAGGGAATAAAATATAAAAGGGAGCTGAAATGTGTAGCACAAGCTATTACCAAAATAAAAATTTGTATGACAAGATAAGGAGTAAATGGAAATGAGTTGGAAAATTCTTATATTTCCTCTATATATATAGTAAAAATAACCACCACAGCCATCCTCCCCATGCATCTTATGATCCTCCTTTTGACAAAAATGTCAATGCCCCAGATATGGCAGGGCTCTCTGCATCATATTCCGATGATAGGATTTTAGAGTGGATTTCACCACATTTCTAATGTAGTAAAACTTATAAGTGATCAGGGAAAGGGGGTTTTTAAGAAAATGAAAAGAACAGAAGTAAATATGAGAAATAAAGCAGCATCTTGGTGTGAGATGCAAAAATTTGCTCTAGTGACAAATTAAGTAGGTTGCTCAGTGACCTACTGTTTCTCTATGAATTTCCTTCAAAAGAATTTTGTTGGAATTTACAAGTAAAACATACTTTTTCACATCTGCTTAGTCTGAAATGTGCAAATAAGAGGGTTTTTAGAGCATTTGTTCAGATTGTCAAAGTTGCTTGTTTGCATAGGAAAGATAATCTAGTCTGAACTTCTGAGGGTAAATTAAAGACCTTCAGAGCTGCAGGGTAGACTTGCTGCTAGAATTTGGTGGTATTTGGAGAAGTCCACAGGTGAGTGAAGGGAGACTTTTGGCATGAAATTTGTGGTCTTGCCATAGTTAGAAGTCTCTTCCTTTCTCCTTGATTATGTGCAAAAATGTACTCTCTCTCTGCAGGGGTCAATTTCATAATAGCAATGTGTTGTAAAATGTGGAAGATGTTGAAAGCTTACTGTGGAATTTTAGGCTAGAACAAGATAGAGCACAGAAGAGTGATTCTGGGGCATCCTTATTTCTAGAGCTTTTTGAGTGTCAGTTTTATTTAATGATATTTATTTAATTCGAGTGTCAGTTTTATTTAATGGTGTTTAACTGGGTGATCTGCAGTTTACATTCAAGGGCAAGTAAGGTAGATTGTTAAAGAGAAAATTATGCATACATAAAGTTAAGAAAATAATGGAGTGAATGTGTCATAGAAGATTAATACATTGTTTATGATGGAAGTGTTGCCATTGCAGTGTGTATAATGGATATTCTGTTTTTCTGAGCTGCATTAAGGTTCTGAAATTGGTTATTGACAGTCATATTTCGGCATCTTAATCTGATCTTTGACACTTAAGTTCTGGATAAGAAACAGATGTAAATCATTTCAGGTGGGAGATTTGCACTACCAATAATTATAGCCACTAAATAATCCACCTTAGCAGAGTCCATCTTGTGCTGAAAGCTGTTTAGATATTCTGTGTAATCAATAATAACAGTTGGAAGAGAAGCAGATTACTGAACTATCAAACTGATGTAGATGTTTCATTAGCCAAGAAAGTTAATTGGAGTGTATCAGCACTGATAATATCTTGTGATGCCACTGTGCACTAACTTAGGACTGAAGCAGTGTACTTTTCTTTTGGTTTCCCCTCCTTTGAAAACAAAAGAGGGAGGAGAAAGGTACTGGTGAGGCAGTAGTTACATTTCCTTTTATTTTAAAAAAAAAGATAGAACTTGACAGGTGGTTTGGCAGGGGAACTGAGGGCCATCATAAAAGACGCAGCTACTTACATTGCTTCTTAATTTGCTAAGCATTCAGGTACTCAGAACAGGACTACTAAAGTTGATAGTTTCATCTAAAGCACTTAGAAAATATTTTGGTCTCTTGTGTTTCTCTTTGTTGACTGCATCTATGTAAATTTGAACGTTTTGCTGCAAATAAAAACTACAATTATCAAGTAGTCCTGTAAGTCAGTATTATACAGAATCACTTAGGTTGGAAAAGACCTGCAAAATCAAGTCCAACCTTAAACCAAATACCACCTTGTCAACTGGACCACAGCCCTAAGTACCATGTACATCTGTGTCTTGAACATCTCCAGGGATGATGACCTCACCACATCCCTGGCTGGCCCATTCCAGTGCTTAGCAACCCTTTCAGAGAATACATTAGTTCTGATTTCCATCCTGAACCTCCCATGGCACAGCTTGGGGCCCTTTCCACTCATCCTGTCACTGGCTGCCAGGGAGAATCCCCCGGTGCCCACCTGCTGCCTTTGGGCAGTCGTAGAGATTGATGGGGTCACCCCTGGGCCTCCCTTTGTCCAGGCTAAACCCCAGCCTCCTCAACAGCTCCAGTCAGACTTGTGCTCCAGACCCTTCTTCAGCTCTGCTGCCATTTTCTGGACATACTCCAGCACCTCCATGCCCTTTTGCCCAGGGCAGCTTTCTAGCCACCCTTCCCCAAGCCTGGAGCATTGCCCTAGCTCAGCAGGCCAATGAGGGAGATAAATGAGCTCTGAGAACAGCCCAAGTTCTTGGTTGATTATTTGCAGGTGATGTTCCCATTATGTATTTTTAAGCTTTCTGCTTTACTTCCTAGCCATTTTAATAAATAATGATAGGTAAATTTTTAGTCTTCTTTGCAGGAGGATGGCTGTCCAAAAAGGTCATGCATTTGCTTGAGTGTGGAGCTTGGTATGAATTTTCTCATGCAAACAGTAATTTCACAAATAACTCCTTTAAAGGGAAACAATATGGTCTGAACTGCTAGTGAACTGGATTCAGTGGATGGATGAAGAGTTGTTTTGTTCCATTTCTCTCATCTTCCTTTACTTTTTTAAATGATGCTTTAAATTATGTTATTTGTCAGTTTCATTGCAACTGCATCTAATACTGCTTTGGAAGAAGAAAAAAAACTTTCTGGAAATGGTTTTCCTTTTTTTTCCTTTGATTTACAAAAGCTAATTTTAATTGTGATCATTGTTCTTCATGAACAATTACATCTTGTATAGGATCATGAACCTGATCTTACTGCACTGGGTAAAATAGCTGCATTTTCTATATACTCAAGAAATTGTGCAGAAGTATTTTTTGCCAGTAGGTGACACTCTTAAAACATGTTAATTCCCTAGTGCCCATGTTTCCTATTCAGGATGTCAGTAACCTGATTGAATTCCAAAATTTCTAAGGTTGTCTAAGAGATGAAAAGGAATGTATGTCTCACACATGCAAAAAGCATGTCCTAAATTTCTGTGATTGTACTTAGGTGTGTGTGTAAATTTAGTAGTGGAGCTTGGTTAGCATAATGTGCATGTGGTGTATTTACTTTTTAAATCAAAGCATATCATTAATTTAAAATATTTTTGCAAACCAGGGAAAAAAACAATACATACAATTTTCTTTCTTTCAAGAAATAACATATTTCAACAACCAAAGGGGTTTTGTAAAAGAATGGCCTGGGAGCATGTTAGGACAATCATATGATGTTTAAACATCATATTTTTTAAGGCTTCTATTCATGCATCACTGGTGTGGAGTACTTTATTCCTCATTTCATTGAGGGGAAATTCAGGGATGGGAACCGCAGTAGTGTGGGATCTTGAATGCACTTCACAGGCTTTGCAATTAAGCCAAGTCTTTAAGTCCTTAAGTAACTTAAGAGATCTATGTGATTTATCAATATAATGGATGATGTTGGTGTTAAAATTCAGTCCAAAACTCCAAGTTCTCTAGTAGGATTAGTCCCTAATCCACTGATTACTTGTCTTCAAAATATCTGTTCTTCATATTTCTCTTTTACTAATTTATTCTTGAAGTAAATAATAATTCCCATGAAAATACATCTGTTACAGGAATCATGCAATGAAAAGGTTAAGACTGCACCAAATAAAGCTAATGAACTTTAACTGCAATAACAGTCACTCAGTTTATATATATACTTGTATGTTCCCATTCACAGAGTCATAACAAAAAAGTACATACTTATGTAAATATAATTTAAAATAAGCAGCTAATGTTGCAGTTATCATACTTGGCATTGTTACATTGCTATTGAAAATTAGTACTTAATTTTTGAAAAATTTGAACTACTTGTTTTATGAAGTGTCATCTTTTGTGCATGATGAAACTGAACTGTGAGGAGTATTGGATAGTGTACTGTAGGAAATGTTCCTCAAATGGAATGCTGCACCTTTCTTTTTGTGTGTTTTAGAAGCTGCGTGATTTGAATTTCTCTGGAGATCCAAATAATAGCCCAGGTAGAGCAGAATTTGTTAAATAACACCTCAAATGTAGTGTGAAATAGAAACAGTAGTTCTGGACTAGTTGGAAGGTATTTTAGCTGGATTGTGTGGCTGGTGACTGTGGATAAAACACAATGCAAACATGCTTATTTTTCTGTTAAATCTTTATTCCATATGATTTAAAATAATAACAAATCTGTGGGTTTAGATGTACATGTCATGTAAACAAATGCCAGGCTCTTCTCCAAAGCAGTGATACTCGTCCTTGCAGATGCCTCACTGTCCTGTACTAGTTATCTTTTTTACAATCATCATAAACTCATCAAAGCTGACAGATCCATCCTTATTTTTGTCCAACGATTTAATTATGTTATCAAGTGAGAATTGATCCTGTTTTTATAAGACAAGAATTAAAGGAAAAAAAAGAGAATGAAATGATTAGATCACCATGAGCATTTTCCTATGAAGCACGTTGCTAAGAAATGATGCAGTCAATAACAGTCAGTGTTACTTGAAGGTGTTACTGGTGGTGTTGTATTTACTGGTTTGACTGGTTAAACTAGTAGGACAGTGTCTGCTTTTGCCTGCCAAAAATGTTAACAAAG